TGAGCCAGAGTTTGGGTTTGTGATCGATTTTTCTAGAGCTTGGGTTTCAAAGTGTTCCATGTAGAGGTTGGCAATGACAGGTGAGAGGGGTGATCCCATGGGTGCTCCTTCTGTTTGTTTGTATTTTTGTCCATTATAGATGAAGTATGTGTTGGATAGGCAGTGGTTGGTCAGATCTAAGATGTGTTTGGGGGGGTTATATTTGTTTTGGATAGCTGTCAAGGCTTCTTTGATAGGCACTTGGGTGAAGAGGGATATGACATCAAAGCTCACTAGTAGGTCGCTGGGCTGTAAGTTTTGTTTCTTTATGATCTCTATAAACTGGAATGAGTTTTTTACGTGTGAGGTGATGGATTCTGCATAGGGCTGTAGTTGTTTGGCGAGAAATTTGGCTAGGTTTTGTAGAGGTGAGCCTATGGAGCTGACTATAGGTCTGAGTGGGATTCCTTCTTTGTGTATCTTGGGGAGACCATAGAGTTTAGGGCATCTGGATGATTTCTCTCTGGGAATGATTCTTTGCTGGATCTCTTCGCTAATGGGGGAGGCTTTTATCTTGGTTCTGGTGGTTTTTTCCAGGTAGGTGGTGGGATCTGTATTTAGGGGTTTGTATGTGGAGTCTTGGAGTAGGTTGGTTAATTTGGTTTGGTAGTCAGATGTGTTCATAACCACCGTGGCGTTGCCCTTGTCTGCTGGTAGGATTATTATGCTGGTGTCTTCTTTCAGTTACGTAGTGCTGTCTGTTCCTCTTTGGGTAAGTTGCTTTTGGGTGGCTTGCTGGTGCAGAGGATGTTGGTGATTTCGAGTCTGTTTCTGTTAGCGTCGTCGGGGTTGATTTTGGTCAGGCTGGTTTCAACTCCACATATAATGGTTTCAGTGGGGATGTGTTTGGGAGCGACTGCAAAGTTGAATCCTTTGGAAAGGACATTGGTTTCGGCTTTGGTGAGGATCCTATCTGAGATGTTATGCACTGTTTGTTTCATGTGTGGCTGTGAGGGAGGAGGGGTTTGTTTCTGGCGTTCTTGTAGTCTTCGGAGTTTGTTGGTGTGTGTATCTGTCTTGAGGGTGGTCTGTGTTTCGGCTCTCCAGACGGCGAGTTGTTTGGATTTGTCCCAAAGTGCAGGGTGGATCTTGTTGCTGAGTTTGAGGTGGAGTGTGAGGAGATCTTTGTTAATTCGGTCTAGGAGGAATCTTTTTGTGTGAAGTTCATTTCTGATTAGGGCCAATTCTGTTCCTTTCAGGATCCGTTTGGTGGCTGCAGAGTTGGAGTGGAATTTCAGTTGGAAACATGTGGGGATTAGATTTTGATCTCGGCAGTTACGTAGGAATGCGAGGTCACATAAAATGGAAGCTCTTTGGACTTCAAGTTTTTCATAGGTCCTGGTCAGATGGTGGATTTCCTCCCCGTAGAGGTTCAATATTTGTTTTCTGAGGTTTTCGCGGGTATTTGTATGTAGGTCTTTGGTTGTTCGGGTTTTCTCCCGCGTAAAATTGGAAGTGTCTTGGCAACGTTTCGACGAAGTCCCATTCGTCATCTTCAGGCTGGTGTTTTCAGCTTCGTGCTTCGAGCAGCAATGTGTGGTCTTAGCTGTTTCTTCCTTTTAACTGCCAGTGGGGGTATGAACTGATTGGGTGGGAGCTTGGCTGTGTTCTGATTGGGTGGAGGTGTGTTCTGATTGGTTAGGGGCTTGGCTGTGCTCTGATTGGCTGGGGGGTTGGCTGTGCTCTGATTGGCTGGGGGGTTGGCTGTGCTCTGATTGGCTGGGGGAGTGTTCTGTTTGGTTGTGCTCAGGTTAGTCTGAGTTGCAGAGGGGTTTAAGATTTTGGGCTGCCTTGCTATTTTTTGGCTTCACGTTCGTGGTCGTGCCTCTCTTCATGGAGGGTGTCAGTTTGCTTCATGTATGGATTGGAGGGGTTTAAAGTGGCTAATGATGCAGCTGTGGTCTGGCTTCTGGTTTGTGGTCGTGCCTCATCATCGGTGTGGCTTTGGGTTTGCTTTTTGCATGGATGTGTGGTGGTGACATCCTGTGTGGTTTTTGTGAGTGTGGGTCTGGTATCATTTTTTGTGTTAGGGAGTCGTTTGTCAATAAGGGCGGGTTTCCAAATGGCTGGTAGGCGGGAGGTATCATCTCGCTTGTTCATGCTGTGTGGGCGTTTTTCTATCTCGATGGCTTCTCTGATTATTCTGTTATTAAAATGTTCACTTTTGGCAATGGTTCTGGTATTTTTAAAGTCAATTTCATGTCCTGTGGCTTTAAGGTGTTGGACCAGGGAAGATGTTGGTTCCTCTTTTTTGACTGAGTTCTTATGTTCTTCAATGTGTGCACTTATTCTTCTGTTGGTTTGTCCGATGTATGTGGTGGGACAAGTGGTGCATGGGATTTCGTATACTCCTTGATTTTCTAATTCAATTTTATCTTTGGGATTTCTAAGGATGGTGGATATTTTTCTGTTTGTGCAGAATGCTGTTTTGATGTTGTGTTTACGGAGGGGTTTAAAGTGGCTAATGATGCAGCTGTGGTCTGGCTTCTGGTTTGTGGTCGTGCCTTATCATCGGTGTGGGTTTGGGTTTGCTTTTTGCGTGGACGTGTGGTGGTGACATCCTGTGTGGCTTTCGTGGGTGTGGGTCTGGTGTCATTCTTTGTGCTAGGGACTCGTTTGTCAATAAGGGGGGGTTTCCAAATGGCTGGTAGGTGGGAGGTAAGCGCGGGTTTCCAAATGGCTGGTAGGTGGGAGGTATCATCTCGTTTGTTCATGCTGTGTGAAACCCGCCCTTATTGACAAAGGAGCACGAAGCCGAAAACACCAGCCTGAAGATGACGAATGAGACTTCGTCGAAATGTCACTAAGACACTTCCAATTTGACGCGGGAGAAAACCTGAACAACCAAAGACCTGTGTGTGTGTGTGTGTGTGTGAATATTTTACAAAGCAAGGCCACAAGCAACTTTTAACCAGCAGCTGTGGTACACAAGAAATGAGAAAGGAAACTGAAAGAATCCTCTGACTAAACTGAAGTGAATTAATACATCTGGCATTCAGCTCTTGGTTCATTTCAACATCAGACTTGCATTCACCTTTGGTTGATAAACACCCACCTGTTCAAGGAATTTAATAAACACTATTCAAATTCTTCCTGTCTTGAATATGTCCAGGATCTGCCTGGCATTGCTGTTTTGGGTAGCAAACACGTGGTCGGTAACATTAACTAACATACAGGAACTAAAATTGATACTAGATAAAAATGAACTGCCAAGCCAGATGTTCTTATGGTTCTATACTCTACTGTTACCATTCCCATCTTATCAAGTAACATCACAAGATGGTTCATGATAAACTCTTTTCTCCCACTGGCATTAAATGGAAGCTGATATATTGCAAAGCATCTTTACAATTTTTCCCTGATCCCATTGGCATTCCAGCAAGTAAAGAGAGAGTAGCAGTTGCTGTATTTGAACATGTATCCAGAAAAACATCAAAGGTAAGTTGTGATCAAGAACATGATGCAAGATAGGGATATAGTTGAGAAACTCACTTGTTTAACTTTTGGTAAGAGAGCATTTTATGGGTTACCACACTTATTTTGACAGCCACTTTGATATAATCAACTTTACACACTCAACATTTCAGAAGTGCCCAGAAGCTTAACAAGATTGTCTTATTTCCTAAAGAACTCCATTCTGGAATTAGAATTTATACTATTATTGTGGGCACTCTCTTAGTCCCCACATTTTTTTCATGTCATTTTATTTTAGCTACATTTAAAATTAGTCAATTGATTAGCCAATCAAATTTTAGTTTTAAACCTTGGAGTATAGCTACCATTTGCCCAAAGTACAGTCTTCTTTGTACCAACAGGGAAGATAATTTGCACAGTTTGCATTAGGAAGCACTGACTTATTCAACTTTTATCTGAATCCAAATGCCATTGGGTTATCAAAAGGAACCATAACTGTTAGGGGTTTTTTTTAACATACAAAACTGAGCAGGGTTTCCTGTCAAAACCATATGATGTTTTATGCAAAATCTGAATATGCATAGAAAGGAAAGAGAGAGATAAAATCTATCTAGGAGTGAATGGCAATTTGGTAGCACGTGGCTGATGGCTTACTGTTTGTTCTTCAGTTTTGCATTGTAAAGCATTCTTTACTCCGAGACCACCTCCCTTTTTCTGGAGGTTGATAAGAAATAAACTTTCCCTCTGACAATCCTTCCCTTGTTCTGATTTTTAATGCACAATTTAAATCCTCAAACTAAGTTTTGGAAAGTCCCATCTCCATCCCATATTATACAGTGTATTATTTCTGTTTCAGGGCTGCCAAAGGAAATAAGTCAGTATGACTTCTGGCTGGAGGAGAGCTCATTTTAAGCTGTACCTCAGAGCCTCACAGTGACGGAAGTTACAATCTTCAGAAAACATTACACCATTCTTCATTTGCTGAGATCATGGTCCTAAGGATATTAGTGTGCCACACTAGATCAGACTACATGTCCACTCCATTTAGCATCTTACTTCAAACATGGCTAGCCATTTGCTCTAGAAAGCCCCCAAACAGAACGTGTATGTAACATAATGTGCTAGTTCCATTTAGATCTAATGGAAAATATCAGGCCCTAGAACCTTTTCCAAGAGGCATATAGCCTCTTTTAAAACCGTTTTATATCTTGGAATAGCAAACTCCATAAATTTCCTATTTACTGTGAGAACAAATATTTTTTTGTCTGTTCTTTCCACTACATTTTGTATGTTCTCTCTACTATATTTGGAGTAAAATTTTGCTTCTACTGGTAAGCAAAAAATATTTTTCTTTATCCTTTCTCATTATACCATTGATATGTATAAATATTCTCTTCTATGGATAAATACATAAGAATTGAACTGTACTTCCGTTTAAACCTTCTTCGGCCAGATTTTGGCTCCTGCCAAAAGATATTTCTTTTTGGCAGAGCTTTTCTTATTTAAAACACTTAACTCAATACTGCTGTTATTCCATTTTACCCATAGTTATTTACTGAAAGGAAGAAGCAATAAAAGCCAATTTGATGTATGAGAATTGGTAAGAGAAAGAAGTGGGTCATCTTCTATGCCACTGACAGTCATTCGTTTTGATTACAATGGCAAAAAAATTTGTTTAACAATTAAACTGAAGGAATTAAAAAAATATATCCTGGCCATAAAAGCAACACACAAACACAGAGCACTTGAGAGGGGGAATCCAACTAAATGGATCCAGTGGCTCGGGGCAGATAACTTAATGGTGTTTAGATAGGTACCTTACACCAGAGATCCGCCCACTCGAACCAAGTACGTCCATAGCCCAACAGAGTGGACACAAACCTAGATTTAAGGGCAGGTAGGGGGTACCTGGGAGCGATATAAGCCGAGCCCAGGAATTTACCTGTGGTTAAAAAGGGGGAAAGGCAAAAGCCCCATAAGACGCCACAAGACGGAGCAGCAGAGGCCAAGCCCATATTCTGCCTATACTTACCATATGCGCTGCCCTTCCGCTTTACCCAAGGGGGCCCTTTCCCCTCCCCTGGCCGGCCAGCAAACTCATCCCCTCTCCCACCACTTACCGAAACGCTCCCACTCGGCCCGGTCCAGCGCGTCCATGATTTCGTAGAACTTGCACATGATCGCTGGCGGCAAATCATAAAGGAGCCGGGTCGATCCGGAACCGGCCATAACCCCCTGGTCTTCACTATGACTACCGCCCTCCACCGCCCAGGCCAGGCCATAGGAGAGGCTGGACAAGGGGGAGGGGGAAAAAAAGAAAAGAAAAGGGGGGAGGGTGAGAAAAGAAAAGGGGCTACTTCCCCTTTAAACAGCACTCAGGATGAGGAAGAAAAGGATCGTTTCGGCAGGCTCCCGTTCATCCTCCTGCGCATGTGCCAATGGCAACGTGCACTTCTCTCCAGGCGCGTCGCCGTCCTACGCAGAGCAGCCATCTTGGATGTGGCAGGCGTCATTGGACAACCAGTTTGGGAGTCCGTCTTTTTAGGCACCCCCTCCCCTCCCCCCCCACAGACCTGCTCCGAGTAGGGGTGATCATTTAGGCTGTAATGTTTAAAGGTTTTACTTATGATTTAGTCTTAGCTGTCGTGGCTTTCGACGACAGGGTTAATGATGTTAAGCCGAAACACACCTACACACACCCACACCCCATAGCCGCGCTATCACTCACTTGGGGACATCGCGGAGTTACGTTGTGTAGGCTGCTCAGACGTTACAGGTCCTTCCTAGAGGTGAGACTTACGAATCGAAGCGTGCAAGACGATGTTCTGCTGCCTTTATTTGGGAGTAAACTCCGTTCGATTTAATGTACCCGTTTCTCGCTGAATTTGGGTAAGCGTGGGATTTCACAAAAAGCCTTTATCCTTGTTTTCTGCTGCAGCAGAGCACATAGACCTGAACTTTATCCAAACTGACAGCAGAATAAGTGAAAAATCGAGGCTTGATAAAGGCAGCCAAACCAAATAGTATGCCAAGATGACAATTCAAATTAATTTCACATACGTGATGGAACTTTAAACTGGTGGTTCTCAACCTTTTTAATGCCGCGACCCTCAACCGGTCGTAAGTCGAGGACTACTCAACTGGTGCAGCACCATTTGCAGAATGGGACTTTTGGCAGGCTCAGCAGGGTAGAGACAGCCTGGACAATTCCTATTGGCTTTTGAAAGCCAATAGAATTAGACTCTATTCAAGAGAGTCTATTCTATTGGCTTTCAAAAGCCAATAGAATAAAAGGGAGTAGCACAGCTAAGGAAAAGGGGGAAAAAAATGGCGGACTGTGTTGTTTGGTGACCCCCGTGAAATGGTCGTTCGACCCCAAATGGGGTCCCAACCCACAGGTTGAGAACCACTGCTTTAAACTGAAGCCCAGATAACATCACTCAAACTTCTGTTATTCTATTCATTCAAGTATACTAAAGCACTTTTCTGCCATCTACGTATGCTTGCTAGATTGCAAATTCCAGATCTGAGTCCAAATAGTGGAATTCCACATTATTATTAAATCTGCTTTACTTACTAAGTCATTACCCATATGCCCATACTATATACCATTCAATGGAGCAGAACAGTTCCAAATAGTAAAACTGTATAATTCAGGGGTGTCAAACTCAATTTCATTGAGGGCCACATCAGCATTCCGGTTGCCCTGGGGGTGGGGGTGACCAGGGTGCAGCCTACTGGGTGGGCATGGATGGAGTGGGTGTGGCCTACTGGGTGGGCATGGTCAGCTCTACATCATTCACTTCAAGAGTGCCTGTGGGGGCTTGGGCAGGAATGGGACAGATCTGAGGGTCTCTGGCAGAAGGGGGTGGGAGGCATGGTCCACTGGAGGAGCCTCACTGTTCCTCTCAGGCCATGCGGGGGGGGGGGGGCTTGGATGGTGGTGAGGGCTGCTGGGAGCCCTGGGAAGCAGAGGTCAAATGCTCAGCCTGGCCCTTGAGCACCCGGGGCACCAAGCCCAGCTCCACTTCCCCAAGAGGGCACCCAGCTGCACTTATCTCCTCCTCAAGGCTGCTGCTGCTGTGCTTGCTCTCTTACCCAGGTTGCTCATGATGGGTACAAGAGCAAAGTCAGAGGGAGGCCCATTCCCTGTTCATGGGAGGAGACCCGGCTTTGTATCCAAAGGATCCTTAGCAATAGGATGGGAGACCCCCAGGATAGGCCAAGAGGAGGGGGCAAAGGGATGGTGAAGGAGCAGCAGGACAGGACTAAGGCAGGACTTCCCTCAGACCCTCCCTCTCCTTCTTTCCTTCTTTCTTTCCTAAGTACAGAGTGGTGGGAAAATATTTGAGATGAGGGAGGGAGAAAAACAGGCAAGAAACGCAGCTGGGGAAGTGTCACCCTTTGTGAGGAATGAAGAAATACACTATCGCCTGGAAGTGGCCAGCACATGGCCCTCACTTATTTCACATATCTGGCTTGGTGGGCTCTGGAGGAGGGGATGCCATGAGCAGTGTGAGAGTCAATGTTACGCAATGCCGCCCAACCGGTTTCAGCAGGCAGCAGGGCGCTTTCCTCACAGTGCCAAGAGGCTGAACCAGGTGGCGCAAATCCAAAAAGAAGCGCGATGCTGCCCAGCTCCCAGCCTGCCCGGTTTCGGCAGGCAGCGAGGCACTCTCACAGCGCCGAGAAATTGAGCCAGGTGGCACGAAGCTCGCCAGCTTTGCACTTTGCTGTCTGCTGAAACTAGGCAGGCTGGGGGCTAGGCAGCATTGCACTTCTCGTCAGATTTGCCCAACCCAGCTCAACTCTTGGCGCTGAGAGCACCCCGCTGCCTGCTGAAACCGGGCAGGGTGGGAGCTGGGCGGCCTCGCTTTTCTTTTTGGATTTGTACCACCTGGCTCAGCCTCTCGGTGCTGTGAGGAGAGTGCCCCGCTGCCTGCCGAAACCCCTCCCCCAGAGCCCATCAAGCCGGATATGTGAAGTAGGTGAAGGCCATTTACTGGCCACTTCCAAACGATGGTGCATTTCTTCATTCCTCACAAAGGGTGACACCTCCCCAGCATGCACCCAGGAGGTGGGGCCTACGTGGCAGGGGCTGGTTCCTCGCTGTTTCCAGACGGACTTGTAGAGCTAAGACTGAATGCATTTCAGCATAGAGGGCCACCACAAAATTGTACATTGGCTCCCAGCTGGCCTGGGCCAGGGCCAAGGAGAGCAGGGGCCGTTCCTTCACTGTTTCCAGGATGGCTTCGCGAGCCACATGAAACCACTTTGTGGGCCCCATCCAGCCCCCGGGCCTTGTGTTTGACATGTCTGGCATAACTGGAAGAAAATTTCTGGAAATATATATTCCCAGAAGCATCAATGAACTCAACTGGCCTTGGAACAGATGTACACTTAATTTTTTTGATAGAAAATTCACTGCTGATTTTGTTCACTGACATAACTTATTCCTGCCCAAATCACGGCAGGCCCAATATTAGCATTACTGTACCTTTCTTGAACAAATCTGATGGCAGTAGAGAGATTTTTTTCTGCAATTCCTTACAGTAGCCCTATTTAAGCAATTAGGCAAAAGCTGCTAGTTTAGGTAATAAATTCTGATTGTTGTTCATGGTTGTCCACTATTTGAAGAAAAAGATGCTATCTGGGTATTCCTGGATAAATGCAGATTGTAGAACCTCCCTTTTTACAATCCCTTAATTTGGATAGAGTCCAGAAGACTGAATGGATGCAGCAGATATTTTTGCACCCTGGTAGAGAAACATCTGTAGCTATCTAGGTTTGAACCTTCCACCCACACCGCTCTATAAATTCAGATGGTAAAAATGCATATTTATTTTAATACAAATACAGGTAGCCCTCGACTTATAACCACAATTGAGCCCAACATTTATGTTGCTAAGTGAAACATTTCTTAAGTGAATTTTGCCCCATTTTACGATCTTTCTTGCCACAGTTGTTAAGTGAGTCACTGCAGTTGGTAAGTTAGTAACACAGGGTTGTTAAGTGAATCTGGTTTCCCCATTGAGTTTGGTTGTCAGGTCACAAAAGGTGATCACATGACTTCAGAACAGTGCAACTATCATAAATACAAGTTAATTGTCAAGCATCTGAATTTTGATCATATGACCACAGGGATCCTGCAGATCTTGTGAAAAATGGTCATAAGTCCCTTTTTTTAGTGTGTTGTAACTTCAAACAGTCACTAAATGAACTGTTATAAGCTGAGGACTACCTGTATGGATTCTATGGAAAATGTAATTATTATTAGGTTTGTACAGTACTTCTAAATCCAGCTTGGTGGTTCCTTCCAAGGACTAGAATGGGAGTCTGAAATATGACTCCCATTCTAGCTCATTGCACCAGCTCCCTGAATATCAGTGAATATAATATAGCAAGAATCTGCTTTCTGTAATGTGTGTACTAACAGTATTTTCTTTCTGCTTGGTTCAGGAGACATCTCTTATTTTTTAAAGCCAGCATTAATATATCGTAGTTTAAATAATTTCTGAGGAGAACTTACTAATTTTTCTGACATATGAGATTTGTCCCTAGCTAAGACTGGGACAGTTGCTTAGTTGAAATATCAAAGGTTTTAAAACCAGTTATGTGATGGCTTACCTTTTTATTAGTTCATAATTTCTTATCACACCAATCTTCCAGATGGCAACCTCTTATAATCCTAAACAGAATCAAGCAGTATTCAGGACAAGAAATAAAAGGGTAAAACAAGTTACATTGTGCCAGAAATTTAAGATTTCTGGTGAAAAAGAATTAGTTTTCCAAATAATGTGTAGAGTAAAAAAGTGGGCAATCTTTAATAACATGAGGACACATTCATATTTGACTTGGGAGAAAGAAATGGTGGAAAAGCCAGAGAGGGGGGGATCCCTCCCCCCCAATTTTGAACCAGTTTTCAGTGGGGAAGGAAGGTCAGTTCTGGAAATGTATAGATGTTCATCCAAAGAACCATACTTCCAGGTATTACCGTATAATATTGCTGTCTGTGATTAACATCTTTGGATGAATAGCAAATTATGTATCTGAGGATAAATTTATAACTTAAAAAAAGAAAGTATGATCTTCCCTATGGTAGCACTTGGAGGGGGGCATGAAGTCCCAAACAATGAAAGTGAATTGCAGTGATCTCAGGGACAGTTCTGAGATTGGACAATGGAGGTGTTCCAGGTTCTTTAACCTGGAAGTGTTTTGGGGGCAGACTTTCTCTACCCACAAATTCTGGATTTCAACATTGGACAGATGAGTGGAAAGTGATACAATGATGCTGCCTCCTAGGAGTCAGTTGGGGCATTTAATGATTTGCAGGGGGATGATCTTGGTGGTTATTGATCCAGTAGACCGGAGACTATCACTGGCTCTTATGATCAGGATGGCCTATAATAAAAATGTTGCTTTCAGTTTGTGATAGGGAATATAACCAAGGCATATACAATGCAGAAGGAATATGACAGATAAGGCCAGTATTCCTCTCTCTACAATCAAGATCCTGATAGCTATCAGATCTTAGAAAAGTATATTGTTCAAGCAATGTTGATGAGTTTGATATGTAGTTTCTGATGTTCTGAAAATATATGATGTCAAGAAAAACAGATCAGGTTGGTATGAAGCAGAAGCCTGAAAGCTAAGTAGCCTACTAGATTCTTGAGAGAGAAGCCCTATATTTGAAATTAGCCAGTGGATTTCTAATTTAGATGTAGAATCTCTCCTTAGCTGATCATCTCTGTCATCTGATTCAGAAGCTGAGAAGAGATAGCAGGAGCAAATTCCATTGGTATCAAGATTTGCATTCCCACTACAAAATCTTGCATCTAAACTTCAGATTTCACTAATAAACTGGCTGGCCTGATTTGAGCTAGCTGCATTTTCAATATCTCCCCCCCCCCTTGGGTGCATTCTGAAGGAGCAGCTAAGTTCCACTTCGACATCCATCTAGTTTTTCCAATCCATCTGCAGATAATTTATTATTTGACTGATTTACATGGCAGTTCCTGGAAAGCCATACAAGGCTAAATCTAATCTGAAGTACAGTGTTGTTGCTACTTTCATTTATGATATGTTCACTACTCAGGACCAAGAATGAATGAAACTAATTGCATATGCATTAGTGTTCATGCAACTAGCTACTTAGGTCTGCTCCTAGAGTTCATGAGTGCAAAGCTTGTCCTTTTTGAGCCTGTATCATGAAAGGTTGACAAATGGGTAAGATTTTATAATAAGCTTCTTTCTCAGGTACACCAAGGGGCTGGATCATCAGATGAAGATTTCTCTCTCATAATTCCAGTATTTCCAGAATTGGGAATTTCTGGCCTTCAGAGCCATTCAGGTTCATGAAAATGATATTAATTGCCCAAATAATATTCTGTTCTAAAAGTAAATGAAAAAAAAAAAATGAATACCAAATAGAAAGTGGAAACAAATGCAGGAAAAACCTTAATACTTTTTAAGAAATACAGATAGCATTTTGAAATTGAGCTTAAGAGAAACTGAGGGGATTCGCCAGAGCTGTGCCAAGTTTTGTGCAACACTGGAGGAGCTGCAAGAGCTACAGACCCTCCAATTAGATCCCTCAAAAACTGGATGAAATTTTAGGCCTTTTTCAGAGAGCAAATGTATTAGGGTAAGAATGGGAGCAGGACTCTGGAAAGCTTACTATCATGCCCATCCAAAAATTTCCCCTCAGGCTCTCAAACAGCTGAAATTAGTGGCAGTAAAATTCTGTCATTTCTGTCACTGAATTGTGGAGTAGGGGATATGTTATGGGGCTGGCTGCATGTGCATAATCATTAAGACCAAGCTGAAGAACTTTGAGTAATGCATTTGCACTGAATTTCTATAAAGGCAGCATAGATAGAGGCTAACATTAAGAGAAAGGATAACATTTCAAATTTGATGACGTTTTCAATGGTTTGGCATTTTGGAACAGTGTAGAAAAGAAAGCACCAACACCTCAGAATTGTGCATCATAAGGTAGCACACAAATCTGAATTCCTTTTTGGTTCTAATGAAAAATGTTCAGTATGATGTAATAGAAGTGAGTTTGTATCATGTTCCCATAATGCACGGGTGTCAAACTCGCCATGTCACGTAATGTGTCGTGACATATCACGACTCTTTTTGCATTGCCGGCAATGGGGTAAGCGCAGCTTCGGTATGATGAAACCAGCTCGTGGACCAGCAGTTTGACACCTCTGCCATAATGAAAAGTATGTTCTCCTTTATTGAATAAACGAGATTGGTTTAACTTTGCATTAACTGTAGATAACAGTTATGCTTCCTATAACATAAAATAAGCATTCATTACCATACTACTATTAAAAATTAAATATAAAATATACATGTCTAACTTCCTGTAATATGTTGATGTATAAAGTGTTATGCCATGTGATAGGGATCTAAAAAGTGATGATCAGTTATATTAATAAATAATATAAAACACTATAGATGAAAAGAGAAACATCCAGCCTAGAGTTTTATGAAACTCAAAAACGTCCTCTGTACCCTGAGAAATTTTTTTTGGGGGGGGGGGGTGAAGATTTAATTTTTTAAAAGAAATATTCTTCCAGCAGTGAAATCTGGCTAGTCAACAAGATGGCCACTTTTCAATCAACTCAAAAGCTAAAAGACATCCTCGGCCACAACAGAGAAAAAAAATATTATATTTTAATGGCAGGGCAGAACATTTCTACCCTGGTAATAAAAGGGTCAAACAGATCTGTAACATTTTACATAGGTTTATAATCCAATTCTAGCACAGAATACAGTACTTACCAACATGAGATGCAACTAGATTACTGTGTAGAATGCATGCTGAGTGCTAAAACCGGGCCTGCATGTATTTTTAACATAAAAATATAAATTATTTTTTTTATTTGAATGCATATATATATGCAGTTTCCATAGTATTTTTCCCCAAAAGGAAGAGAAAAATGCTTGTTTTTAACAACAAAAGATAGAGACACTCATAAAGAAAGGACTTTTTCTTGTAAATTTATAAGGCAAACGTTTTATATAATAAATAGGATACAAGGGTAGGGAGGGATTTTGGTGGATTTCTTTTAAACATATACATGTACATTCAGACGGATTTTGTTATTTTCTTACTGAAATTATACAAATTTTCCTTTATTAAATTTATTTTTTCTTCTTTTTAAATATAGTCAGTGCTTTCAGTCTTTTTTTTTTTTTTTTGGCTGTAGACAAAACCTACAAAAAGAGCAATCAATTTTTAAGTTTTATTAAACAATCTACTCAGAATTCTTAAAAGTAATTGTCCCAAAAATGCATCAAACAAATGCAAAGTGTGGTCAGGAAGTATGGGTGGGGGGTACACAATAGAATATATTTTTAAAAATTCTTCAAAAGAGCCAAGGAAGCTCTACTTAACCTCAGTGGAAAGTTTCTTTATATTTTCCCCTAAAATTAGAGATTTAATATAGAAGGATCATTCATATGGATCGACAGTGATTTCTCGGCATTAAAAATATTAGTGGGGCAATCCTTAGACAACATACAGCCCAACTAATAAGAGTGTTAACTATGATTTTTTGGAGAGTTTCAATGCTTTCTTCTTTGATAACACTTATAATGCTAGATCCTCCTGATTTGCTACTTTATTCTTCCTCCCTTAATGAGTGTTCAGTGAAGGAATCTACAGCACCACCTCATTTTTTTCCTATATTGCCTTCTGGTGGTGGATTATTAAAAATGAAAACTTTATAAAGTTCTCCCTGGATTTTGTTTCTTGTTTTTAGTATTGCATTCCCGCCAAATGAATGTTTTAATGAAGGACTCTAAGCATATTCTAATTTCTTTGATACACTGACTTCTGGTAGTAGATTATTAGAAATTGAAGCATATAAAATACCCTGGGAAGTTGTTAAAAAAATTGTCTAAACTACCCCTTTCTCCCTACTGCCAATGGTAAGACAAAAATAAAAGTATATACCTTTCCTCCCTTTTAAAATATATACATATATTTGACACTCACATTTGAAGCATTTGTGCCTGGAACAATTACTTTACAGAAATGTTCACGATACATACTCGTGGACCATTAAAATAAACACACACACACACACACACACACACACACACACACACACAAAAGGTTTTCATTGACATTCCTTTTTTTAGGGTGGGGAGATAAAAACCCTACACACAATGAGAGTCTCAAATACCAAAGTTCTTTTCTGTTATATCCCCTCTCAGAAAAAACAAACACTATTTAAAAGAAAATAAAAAAACAACTCCCACCCCAACCCCAAATTCTGCTGTCTCTGGATTTTTTTATTTTTTTTTAAAGAAATGTCACTGGGTAGAGAGTTAGTTGGCTATGTGAAGATTAAGAGCTGTACAAGCTAGCAAGCACTCAGCATACATTTAATAACAGTCCGTGTAATATTTGGTCTTATAGTGATCACTACTGAATTGTGAAGCAGAAGGAAGTTGGTTTGTTATTAGTGGCATGTTGATTTATGGAAGCTGGAGAAAGGATTTCCCCCCATCCCTCCCCCTGTACAATAAAGGGAGGAAAGCCTTTTTTTTTTCTTGCACTCACAAAGAAAATCAATTGATCAATGTCCAACTCTATTGCCACTTCATGCAGAGATAACACAACCGCAGTAAGTACTGCTCATCTACATGGCTTAGAGAAGGAAAACCATGACTGGAAGAAATTTTTTATGTATGTCAATTTATGGACTGAGAAATTCTCTCCCCCAACCTCAGTTACGAGAAATATAGTAACACTGTCCCTCAGAGAAGTGTAATCTATGCTCGATCTTTGCTTTTGGAAGAACGGCAATTTTAAGCTGCTACTCTGAGCGGATATTGCTGATTTCCACAACTTGCAAGTGAAAACTGGCAGAAACTCTCATATTTGGTCCTCTTTCTAATGGGGCCTTTTGGGATATGATGAGAACTGTGTCAGTAAAGTGCTAAAAAGCTATTTTTTGCTTAATGATCTGCTTCCAAACACATCAGCCTTTGATTTGATGACTGTTACTTGAGCTATAATGTCAAAGATAACAAAAGCTTTAATACAAAATTATTAAGTGTGACACAAACTGAACAACTCAGCAATCACTCATGCAAGCATAAGCAACACTAAGAGGAGAAAGGGCAAAGTCCAATTTGAAAAACTGATAATTCGTTCTCTCTGAAAAATACTGCAAAACATGTTTGATCAGTAGAAAAAGTAGTGAGAGTACAATTCAATACTTCACTTCTGCCACCCAGTTATTTGACATGTCCATTTTTTGTTCACACCTTTTTCTTTCCAGGATCCATATCTGGATGCAGTATGACACTGACCCATGAAGATACAATATCAAATCCAGACATGATGTCTTTGGAAATCAGACCTTGATTTTTGCTAAACATGTAGGAAGAGAGGGGAGAGAAGTGAAGATAAACAAAAGGCAGGTTATCAGCTAAAGAACGGAACATGCTATCATGGAGTGCTTCCAATTTATGCCAGATGGCATGCAGTGCACAAAATGAAAGGAGCGGTAGGAGAAATATTAACTTTAAAAACAGTAGAAGTGGGAAGATGAGAAGCCAGATAAGAATTTTGCTATGAAGAAAATGAGGAAGAACACCAAGTTCAGTTTAGGACCAATAGTAGTTTTCCAAAACGTACACTACCAGACTAAGTTGTTTCACCATAGAAGTAGCCATAATTGATAGAGCTAAATCATGCCAATAACATTAGTTAGGCTCTAGTTAAACTGAAAATATTTTTAGACAGGTTAGTCACAATACAGACCAAATACTCCATATTTTCTTCACTTTATCATCCTAAACCAGGCATGTCAAACTTGCGACGTCATGTGACGTCGCATAACGTATCGGGCCAGTTTTGCCATTGCCGGCAATGGGGTGGGCGCGGCTTCCACGTGACACGTCCAGCCCGCGGGCCGGCAGTTTGACACCCCTGTCCTAGACCCAAGTCAATGCCCTTCCCCACAAGTTGATTTGAGTGCAAACAAAATAAAATGTTGACTATATGTGACCATCCTGTTATTTTTCAAACTCATTGAACAAAAAAAAAAAATAAATAAAAATAAAAATAAAAATAAAAAAAAAATCCCCTTCCAAAAGTGTAAGAACAGCCCAGCTAAATGTATTTTCTGTTCTGGCATTTACTGGCAGACAATTGTGAAGGGTGTTTTCTTTTCCCTTGCCATGATACTGAAGTTTAGGAATAATAGTAAAGAAAACAACATGTAATAATTTCTGAACAGACCATACCATTCCTTGCTTGTCAGTCTGTTATCCTTATTTGGTAGTGGAGCAATAAGCAAAAAAAAAAAAGCTACCCCTCATTTATAATGCAATATACATATATATAAAATTAGACAATTTTTTCTGTGTCTACTTGGTGCCTTAAAAAAAAAGAAACACTACACACACACACACACACACACACACAAAACAGAAATTAAATCCCCAAACAAAAAAGATTTAGATCTAACGTTAAACTCTACACATTATTGGATAATAATTGAAACTGACAAGTTTATTTTCACTTGACACAGAAACATCAGGTGGTTCACAATGCTAACAAGGTAAATCCCTCTTGCACAGTCTCTCAAACTCCAGGCACTATCCACATGTGTCTTGAGGATGAGCAGGGTGGAAGTGGGCAGAGCTAGGAGCAAAGATAGTCACTTTAAATAAGCAGTTTGCCAGTGAAGCTACTACTGATGTAATGCACTCTGGAAAAGCAGCATCTTTAGAAGGAATGGTGGGCAGAGGCCAGACTTCTATTACTCCTTCTTGACCATACTCCTGCTCTACTTTTTCAATCCTTTCTTTGGGTTGAACTAGATTTTGGTGGAAGACCCAGGTCTGTAATCAGCTGCAAAGCGGAGCAAGAAGGATGCCATATGCAGCAAAAAAATGTTCATGTGCTGGGAGGAAGGCAGGGAGAGTCAGGAAAAAAAGCAAGCAGAATTAAAACTTTTTGCTTGCCTGCTGCTTCTCTGGTGCAAAACTGCCTCTCTTACAATCACTTTGTAGCAATCAAAAGCAGCAATCCTAGTCTGCCTACAAGGATCTAGTTTGGCTCTTACTGACCAAATGAACCTTCAATTTCCCGCCCTACTACATCACAACTCAAGGAAGGGAAGGGAAATAGTATAAAAGTGTCACCTTTTGACTTGTTTGGAATGTCGAGACATGTGAGATTAAAAAACAACAACAACCCTGTGGTCTTACAAGCTTTTCAAATCCAGGTAACGATAGATTAGACTAATTACAATATGAAGATGATTTTAGTGATATATGGGTATTGATATTCTAATTTGGATTTTTGTTTCAAATTCAAATTCCATACATGTTCATAGGTATACTTAACTAAATATATCCCAAAATCTTAACATTTGAAGCTTCTTTACTATCCCCATCTGACCCCATATTAAATTTAACCCATTCTTCTCAATCTATTTGCTAGACATTGTTAAAACCATGTGATCTCAATGGGCCTGTGGCTCTACTGTTCACCCAAATAGGAAGCAAGAAAGAATATTCTTCTCTTGGCTTTAAAGTGCATTATTCTCTCCCATGAAAACGGTTGTTTTTTTTTAAGGAAGGGAGAGGTATTTCCATCATGAGGGCAACTATCTGCCTCAACAATGGACACCAAGAAACAGTTGGGAAAGGACATGGCAAAGGGCTGCCAACTTTTTATCTAAAGTAGTCACCTATATCTTTTGAAAGGTACATGGCTGGGAGAGTGCTAGAGCGCCTTTTACGATAGCAAAAACTACATTTTCTAAATGATCTTTGCCAAATAAATAGGAAGGCATGAGGCTTTCAATACTCCCATAGTAAACTAAACTAGAGAAGATCTGCCTATGGGTATTAATTTCAGAAGGTTCAAATGCTAAAAACGTCAAATGCTGAGTATATTTCCTGCAGAACTACAGCCCCATTTGTATTTTCAGCTATACACTACAATATTATGAATGCTAAAGACACTGGAATGCAGCAATACCCTATATTATAGGGACAGGACTAAACTGACACAACACGCCTGCTTAGCCATAAGCTTGGTCTAATATGTCTGAAATGGAAATGTGGGTCCATATTTTAGGGCATAAGTGCAGGCTTATGTATAAAACAATGTTCTCCATGTCTGCTATTTCATCCATCATCCTCTCCCCGAGGATTTTTTCTATCCAACCGAATTCCTGTTATTAGAATTCTTCCAAGAACAATGTATGTATGAATGAAAATGTTTTGTGTCAACAGGTATCCACAGTGGGGTATTGGGGGAACAAAAGATAAAAGCATTGTCACACATTGTAACACAAACTCCACTCATGTACAAGTGTTGTGTTATTGCACATATGAAAGGGGTGTAGCTTGCATTGTAGTACTGGCACTCTAAGCCCAGCTTGAGTATGCTTTTCATCCTGCAAACACCTGTATGTATCAGGCTGTAGAAGTAAACTACAGGAAATAATATTTCCTCTTTACATGATTTTTAAAAAACTATAAACAGATTTGTTACCACTACATTCAGCTTGGGCTTCAGTTATAACCCAAACTGAATTTTTTAATAAAAAAAATCAATATTCCAATTGGAAAGATTGCTATCACTATTTTTTATTCTTGATGTTCTGTGTTTCAAGCTGGACAAGCTAAGGAGCTGTTTTACCATGATATTCTTCTATGGAAACTTTCATGATGTATATCTATACTTTGACTTCCAAGGATAGTGCTCTGTAAAACTCACCCACACCAAATTGTACCTGTCATACTTTTAATTTCAACATATGTCTATATATGTTTACTATTAAAAAAGTCCCATCAGAGTTGACCCCAAAGTAGAATGAAATGTAAGGTTCTATTCCATTTATCAAAACAATCTTATAACTTAGAAAAATTAATACATGATAGAAGGTTGTCTCTGCAAACTTAGAAGCTGGAGCAAGCGGGACAATACTTCACTCTAGATCTCTCAGTCAAGTGCAAAGTCTTAGAAATCCCCAAATGCAGCTGAATATCAAAGTATACTGCATTTTTCACATCTCTTTCCCACAGACTAGGATATTTATTGTGGTTTGGAAAACTGTAGATAGGAGACCCCCTCCCCTGCCAAACTAAATTTGTGCCTTTTTTAATATTGAGGAAAAGCCCTTAAAGAGTTTAAATTGTTGCAAAGTAATTTCCTCCTGTTTTTTCCTTGTGCGTGCTTCTTTACATTTTCTATCAGGTTTCTATATGTACTTCTCGGCACAGAGACATCATTCCAATAAATAATGAGCTAGTTTCAGAGGAATTCACCATTTAGCAACAGATTGTAGCTCAAATTCTAATGATTAAATAAGAGGCTTGGTTTTTATTCTTGATAAAGAAAGAAGCCAGCCCCAACCTTATTGCAAATCAAGGAGAAAGAGAAGAAAAAAAATCAAACTTTCAGTTCTGATTACACTGTAAGAAGCTCAGAAAAAAAAAATCGGGTTAGCTACAGGGCTAATTCTCATCAGTCTTCCCATAGAGAAAACTGAGGTTTTTTTTTTCTTATGAACAAATCATATTCTAAGGCTAATAACTTCACTTTGGCTACTTATGCACATAGAAGAATTTTTATTCCAATGTCTGGTACATAGGCAAGAACGGAGAAGAAAAGTCATCATCTATGCCAACGAGGCTCTCTAAGCTCTCAAATAAACATGACTCCTGAGAGCCTGTGTATGTATTTATGTACGTACATATATGACTGCAGGAACTCCAATTTTACTAAGGAAAAAAATTAATATTCCTCCCTCTCAAAATAATTTTCCTGTTCTAAATTTTGTCATTCCTGCAAGGAAACTGCTATACTAGAAATAGGAAGAAGAAAAAAGCCATGATAGGAATCTCTATTTTTCTCCCAGTTAACAACTTGTAAAAGGTGAGAGGGCGCATATTTAAACCATAAAATGCTACTGTTCTGAATACTTTCTGACTTTTTAGAGTGCTAACTTCTTTATTTAAAAAAATTATCACAGATATCAGGATATACGTCTATTAGAGTCCTCAAAGACCCATGAAATAAGATGGATCTTTTTTTATCATTTCACACCACGGGGGATATTTTTTTTATTTTAAGAAAGCTACTTCCTGCCTAGACTTTGACTGGGATTCAGTCCTGCTTTCTTCTTATTGAAGTATTTGCTATAGTCCAGAAAAGGTAGGGGGAGACACTAGCTTACCTCTGTGCTACATATTCACTTAAACAAAAATAAGCTGACTAGCATGGCCAATGTCCTTCCCCTTCCCTCCACTGAATGCTGTTTTCTGCTATTCAGGAGGGAAAAAATAGACCTTAATTGTAGACAAAGCCTCATAATAAAACGCTACACTTCTGCTGAGCCCTGCTTTTCTGGGGAGTGAGGCGATATGTGCTCAACCGCCTTGGAAGAGCTTGGTTGCCAACTGGAGGGAAATTATTTGAAGCAACTAGGCCTCTCAATTCAGCCATTGCCATGTACCAATCCCACAAAGAATTACAGGTAGTTTTACACACATTGGGCTACTTTCTTGAACAAGAAGTACAGTGAAAAGGTGAGCCAATGTTCAGTCCAATGCCCCATCTGATACACATAGGCACACTTTGTACATCTTTCACGCCACTGCGCCCCCCCTCCCCAAACAAGTGGACAAAGGCCTCCATTAGTGCAAACAGTTTCCTAAGCTAATATCATTGACAGTAACTGGAAGAACTTCTCGTTTTAAACTCTTAGCGTGTGACAAGCAAACACACAAATGCCGTTCAGCACACTCGGATTGTTTCAACAAAATCAAAGGCCTCTCCTTTCAGGATTGACACAGGAAAGGAGGACATTAATACAAAGCTGCACCTAGTATCCCAGTGGTCTCTTAGCAGCAGAGCTATTCTTGGGGGGGGGGAGACAATATTCTTCCTAATTGCTGGCCTAAATGGCAGATGAGGGATATTAGTTCCCCAATATACCACCCTATTTCTCTCTCTCTCTCTCATGTGTACACATGCACACACACCCTACTGAAAACTACAGAATTCCAACTAAGACTGGACAACTACATTACATGGCACTAGGGAGGTGGAGTGGAATACACGTGTGGGCCCATCTCCACCTGATCTGTTGATGGGGCCTCTATATTATGAAGGGCAAACAGGATCAGGGCAACAAGCCAGAGTTTGGAGCTATTTCTCCCCCGCCAAACAGCTTGCCTTGTCAGTAGTATTCTCAGCAAAGCATGGCAGAAGGAGCCAGGCAGATGGGGAGAGGGAAGAGTGGGCCCCCGTTCTGTAGAAAAAGTGCAAAGTGGCTTCCAGCCCTGGGAGGCATGTTTCTGTACCCCACACTGTGCTTGTCTGTATTAAAAATGGGGGGAATGAGGAACACAGAGGGATAGTTTGGGGGTAAGCTGATTGATTGAAAGCCAGGGCATTATGGGAAAAGAGAATTCTACCCGGCAGCAGCCTGGAGTCTCATTTGGGTGTGTGGGGCTGAGAGTGCCTGTTCCTCTCTTTGTTACCTCTGGCGCTCACTTGCTTGCTCACTCACCCCCCGCAAAGTCAGCTGACCCGCTCTGACACAGGTGTCCTGGTATCCACGGCCTCGTCCCTGTTTGTAGGCCGGGACAAGGCCGTGGAGGACGACACAGTATCTTTGCGCTCATGTTTGTAGGACACGGCTGTGCCACCAGATTGAGTCTTAGGTGGCTCTTTAGGACAGCCATCACTTTCTGGAGCCCTCTCCTCTTTATAGCTCTTGCTGCTCAAGTCCTGGGGCTCAGTTGGAAGGCTCTTGCTGTCCTTAGGGCTTTCAGGGGACTGAGCAGGGGAGGTGCCCTGGGGCTCCAAAGATGGCTGATGGGGAGGGAGGTGCTGATCTTTCTTGCCAGGAGAAGAGGAAGGGGCAGGGGTTGACACAGCATTGCCACCCCGCCCTTTAGGGCTGCTTTCTTTGCTGCGGCGCCCTGGGCTCTTGGCAGCCGTTCGCTGTCCTTTGGAACTCCATTCCGCTGTGTTGCTTGGAGGAGGAGGACTTGGCTTGGTGATCTCTATACTGACAGCCTCACGTGTCTTACGTTTCTTGATGGGCAATACTGTCTCCCGGACTGCCTGGATGACTGGCTCCTTGACTGTTTTCTTCTTAGCTTCGGCAACAGCTGCTACTGCACTGCTGCCTGGCTTTCGTCCCCGTTTCTTAGGCACAGCCTGGGGATCTGATTCAGGTTTCCGTTTACGCCCAGGACGTTTGATCACCATGACCTGTGCTGAGGTGGTAGCCCCCCCTGTTCCTTCTGCCTTTGCTCCCATCGAAGACGATTGCAAAGGCATCTTGACTAGCAGCCTTCCTGAACTCTTCTCAATTACCCTTTTCACCTGTACGCCTTCTGAAGCAGTTCCTCTAGGTTTGGTAGAGCCACTACCTTTGGGTCGACCCCGTCCACGGCCTGTGCCAGTAGTTTTAGGGGCTTTAGTTTTCTTAGGAGGCTTCTGTTCTCGTCGTGAGGGGCTCCCACGTCCAGTCACCGTGAAATCAAAATCATTAGGATCCAGAGAAGTATCTCCCACCTTCTCAAAGTAGGCGATGAGCTCAACTTTAGAACGAAAGGCCTTGCCTTGGGGGCTGCAGTTTCAGAACCAGAAATATGAGAAAGAACAAGGAAGGGGAGGGGGTGGGGAGAGAAAATTAGTGGTAATTCACTAGAGATACACAAGCTAGATTATTACATCATTCTTTTAAAAAAAACCCTCATCTTGCAAGAGTTCTATGCACATGATTCTGTAATCTACAGTATACTTTATACATCAAACATCACACTGCAAATAACCACCAATAAGGGGAGCTTTTGAGCTTTTGCTTTGTGTTGAGCTCTATTCCCCCCCCCCACTCTTGTATCGTGTATAGCTTTGGTGTGAAAGCTAATAGAAATATAAGGAAGAGTAATTAATACATTGCTAATTTGGATTCCACCTACCCCCTAACACTTTTCATTATGAGAGCTTTGAAAGATGGCCCTTAGAGCTAGCTAGGTATTAAGCCACTGTTCTGCCTTTTCTTTTTTAATGGGAAAGTGAGTTACAAAGAGCAAATGAAAGGCAGCTGAATATCTGAGCTCCCCTGTAAAATTCTATGAAGAAAACCAATGTGAACGTGTTATCAAAGTTTTGTCTAGAAGTACAGGTAGTACTCGACTTACAACTTTAGTGACCATTCAACATGCCAATGGACCTACCTCGGGGCTAATTGCAACCCAGATTTGAAGTTAACAAGAATTGCCACCCCTTGGAATCACATGACTGAACTTTGGTCCTCGGCAACCAGGCCACATATTTGCAGCCATTAGAAGTGTCTGATCTCATTTTATGACAATTTTGTCGAAAACCAGCGTTTACTTCCAATTTTCAGCAAAACTGAGTCCATCAGCTGCTTAATGACTGCCATAAGAAAGCTCATAAAATTGAGCTGGTCATGTGACCAACCCATTTTACGACTGTTACAAATGTGATAGGCAGGCTCCATTATGGTTGTAAGTCGAGGATTTCCTGTATTCTTTGTTCTTAGTTCTATATCTAAAATAACATCATTTTCCTAAGGGACTGATCAGAGATGTTACAAAGTAAAAGATGCAGAAAATCTACCATGTTTTCAGAAAAAAATATAGAAGAAAAGAAGCAGGTTCTTGTCATGTGATCTTGGCAAAAAACAGGATTACTGAGTGCCTGAATTTATAACGTGCTAATATATATGTATGTCATGACAGGTAAATTCTCTCTATCTACCTGCCCCCATGCACAGTATGGAAATTCAGATAGGATGTGTTTGATAGATCACTTGCTAAATAACTTAACATTTTGTTAGGATTCTTGTTCTGTATGAAGATATTCCTTCAACGCTGATTTTATTTATTTATAGCAGCAAAAAATAGCTGATTATAAGGAAATCTCCAGGGAATACCAGGGCCATAAGCTAGATTCTAAGGTTGAAAAAACATCTCAGAAAATGACAATGGCAAACTACTTCTGTACTTCTGCCAAAAAATGTACATGTTTATGTCCATGAAATCACTGGAGTTTACCTCAAATGGATAAGCCTTTACATTTTTCTACTAATGTAAATATTATCTAATGAGCATATCATTTGCAAGTTAAAGAGGGAAGGTTTTATCCTCAAAAGCTACTTTAAAAATGAATTTAAAAATGTCTGAATTGCAATATTAATATGAAACTGAGTATGAAAAATCATTAGAATAGTTAAGTCTTATTAATTAACATTAGAATAGGATAGGACAGGATAGGATAGGAGTAGGAATAGGAATAGAATTCTAGATGAGAAATTTCTATGGCAAGTTATATGGCATTTCTGTAGTATTTCTGCTTAATAATTTCATTATTAAAAGTATTTTTTTTTAAAGTTCCTGTGATAATCTCTAGTTAGGGAGACAAAGCCCTATGTCTATGCAGTAAGAGAAGCAGAAGCAGAATAATACATTAACCCTTTCCTGACTGTGGTGAAGTATAAATATTTAGTGCTGCTGAGGCATTTTTCCCCTCTGGAAGCATAATTAAATATAAATATATGGGGGATTCCATATAGCATCTAGGGTAGCCCTATATTAATTGTTAATGCCTTTTCTTCTTTATGTTACATTTATTCATATGTAACTTGTATAAAATGCTTGACAACTTCAATTACAAGTTCATTGCTTTCATCTTCAGCTGTTTTTATTGCTTCCTGAAAATCCCAATTGGAAGATTGATGGGTAATTTCTTGAACTTGAACAGTCTTTCTGTAAAATTATCCTGTAAAATTATTAGTTTCTTTTCACTTGTGTATGCCCATATGGCAAGAACACAGCTGCATCAGATTCCAAGAATAATGAGGACAGTTAGAGAGCATTTGTCTGAATTTTTTTTAAAGCAGCATGTCTTTTCCTGCCAGCAATCCCCTCTGCAGCTGCCATGCAATTCCAGGAAAATGTTTATTGATATTTGGATTAAGGAATTGCTACATATACCCTCCCATATGCTCCAAAGGATGATTTTGATATCTGAATTCTGCACAGTCCTAGAATGGAAGATTTTTCATTCTAAATTTTGTCATATTACTTGTTGTTCGGTAAAAAATGTAAAGGAAGAAATGTTAGAAAGTAAAGAATTCACCACAGTATATGAGGAAAATAAGAAAAAATGGACCAATTCACAAGCAACAGTACTATTTAGCTTAGAGGAAAAAAATGTAGGATTGCAGAAAAATTGTTGTCAATAATTTAGAAATTATGTCACTGGATATCTCGTAAGGACTAACAAATCCAGAAAGAAGGGATGTGGGAAAGGCCTATATTTCCCACATCTATACACTGCTACAACTCTTGTGTCTGTTTGTTTGTAATCTTCAATTAGCCCAAATGGTGCATGAAAGCACAAATATTTTTGAATCTAGGGACCTCAAATCTGCTAACTTAAAGAATGCTCACAAAATCCAGGATCCACGCAATTGAAATTTCTAGCATCTTTATACCAGTTATATAGGTGCTGCTGTGTTGCCACAGTTAGTGTGATTTCTGACACTCCCCACCAGCTTCCCACAAGCAAAGTAAATGGGAAAGCCAACAAAAAGTTGGACATTTTTTCTGCTCCCAACTGCTTTTTTGCCCAACAGTGGTCATTCTGTTTCTCCATTTACGTAAGGAAATATCTCTGAAATGACCATTGGATCAAAATAAGCATTAGCATACTGCCTAGGACATTTTCAGCCTAGTGTATTGTTCTATTTTCAGAAAATAGCATAAGATCTACTGTCTGAAATCAAAGAGAGGTGTAAAAATTAGAGTGAAATTGTGCGCAAGAAACATATACAGTATAATATATAAATAAAAATAAATAGTATAAATAAATATAATAATAAAATAAAAAGAGCCTATATTAGACCTTAACATGCAGAAAATCAGTTGAGAGTTATTATCTCCTAATTCCCAGAAAATATAAGTGCTGGCTATAATTACGTAAGGAAGAACACAGTACATACTCAAATATGCTCTCCCTCATATACACCACTGCTGAATCCTGATCAAAATAAGCTCTCAGACCGGAATATAGGAAGCATATTCCCCCTTTTGAGTTTTGGAGAACAACACACGATGAGAGCAATGCACTGCAAACATACAAGGGCCACTGTCACTCACTTGATAAGATAGACGTCATACTTCCCCGCCGAGCGTCCGGATTTTCTCTGCTTGAGTTTGCGAGTCCAGCCCTCGGGCAAAGTGGGATCATCATACATGGGACCACGATCTCGGATGACAGAGCGGCGCTGTTTTGGAGATGCAGAGGCCTCAGGTACAGCTGGAGCAGTTCCAGCTCCTTCCGACATTTCTGCCTTGCCTGCTTCAGCTGGCTCCACAGAGGGCTGGGCATGCTCACGTTGCTTTTCTTCTTTCCGCTCTTTCTTGACTTTTTTACATTTGGAGGATTTGTCCTTTAGACCCTGTAAATCTTGGTCCTCAGATTTTTCTTCCCTGCAAAATAGAGAAAAGAAAGATCTTGAATGCTTAGCATATCATACAATGATATATTATCAGGACTGATAGGTGGCATAAGAACTCATCTATAGCCAAAGTCTGTTTTGAGACATGTGACAGGAAGATGGAAGGGGTTTGAATGCAACAGCTGCCTATCTCTCTTTGACTCAAGGATACAATGGGAGAACTTTTTCTGGATTTTCTTGTCTATAGTCTCTGGTCTCAGGTGGTCCATTTTCAAACTTGAAATGTTTGTACTTTATTTTGTATCCTTCTCCCCTCATATAAAATTGCTCCCATTCCATTAAGTTTCTGAGAATCTATCCATAAGTAATACATTTTTCCAATACTTCATTGGGCTGGGCAGAATTAAAAAAATAAGTGTGTTGTATACTTTTGGCAACAGCAGAGGAATACATTTGATTCAGTGGTGCCATAGATATATCTCTGTAGGACTACTACAATGATCGGCTGTGCTCTTTTTGTTAGTTAAACATCTCTCAGAGGTCACATACTAACATAACTATATTTTTCTATGTGTGTATTCCAGAAATATCTTCCCTGATAGGTTTATAATTCTACAGCTGGTTTAATTAAACAGAGGAAGCCAGACAATACTATTTTTGTCTGGTATGAAGAAGCAAGAGTTCTTGCTAATTTCATATGCAGCAATATCACAGCACATAACTCAGTTGTTAGATTCTATTATGTAAAACGACACTTTTTTCACTTCCATTCAATTATGTCTGATACATAGAGACTGCCTGGACAAGTCCATGCAGTTTTCTTAGCAAGATTTTTTTAGAAGTGATTTGCCCGCCTCCTTCCTAGGGCTGAGTGTATGACTAGCTAGCTTTATGCCTACAGTGGGACAAGAACACACAGCCTCCTGGTGTCTAATCAGATGCCTTAACCCAGGGGTCTTCAAACTTGGCCCTTTTATGACTTGTGGACTTCAACTCCCAGAATTCCTCAGTCAGTCCACAAGTCATAAAAGGGCCAAGTTTGAAGATTCCTCCCTGAACCACTATACCAAACTGGCTCTCAAAGCAGTTTCTGTTGAGTATAGATTTGTGATATCTCTCAACATACTGTCTTCCAGCTATGGCATAGATATTATTTATTGCCATTACAGTTTGTAATGAAAAACAAAATAATACATTATGTCGGCTTTGTGTAATTGTAAGCAACCCAGAGTCATTGACTGAGATGGGCAGCTATAGAGATTGAATAAACAAACTGCAATTCAACCATGTGACCAAGAGAAGCTGCAAAGATTGCTAGTTTAATAACACCTATAGAAAATTATTTACTAATTTATTTATACTTAAGTAGAAAGCATATAAAATAATGAAAGTAACTTTATATATTAATTCAGCGGAGTTTAAATTTTAGTATATAGTATACTAATAAATTTGATAAACAAGAATAATAAATATTGCTGTTCATTAGTGAGCGATTCAAAAGCTTTTCTGGCTAGCTTTTTCAAGCAGTTTTTCTTGGAGTGACATTTGAAACAGTTGAAATATAAGTACTGAATTTATTACCAATTTTCAAAAAATATTTTATTTATTTATTTATACAACAAAGAAAAAAATGATGATAAATGATTTTAACAGTAAACAGTTACAATTCTAGCTATATATATGTTAAAAACAATACACTGTACTGGCCCTCTAATATTCTTAGTGGTAGATAAGTTTTTCTTAATTATCCATTACAAATTTTGTAAACTATATAATATTTTATCAATCATTCCAATAAACATACACATGCCATCTTTGCCTGATGACTCCCTCCTTATCTCTCTACAGGATGAGATGATTGATCAAGCTACACCCAGAAAGTAACTTCTCACCTAGGGATAGTTAAGTTGAATAAAGAACAGACTGAGGTATAAAGATTTTAATTTTGTCTTAAACAAACTTTAAGTACAGCTGAAAGGAAACGATTTCAGCTGGGAAAAAAAGGGGAGAACTCACCTATACTGCTAAACTCAGATATGACTCAATATTACAAATCAAATCAGTTTATTACAGCTCTAAGACCAGATACAATAAAATATCTAAGAGTAGAACTGTTACATACTCACACAAAATAGAAAATCATATGTATAATAGGATCTAAAATGGATTAAGAGATATAATAAAATAAAACAGAATAAAAATATTAATATAAGAGATTCCAAACTTAATTAATGGTGCAGAACATTGTACAGATGGTAGCACAAAACAGGGATACTAGGAAAAATAATTTTGAGTTCTTGTCTGAAAGAAGTAACATTAAGCAGAAATCACATTCCCATTTCTTTAACATCAGATAAATGAAATTCTGTCTAAAGTTCTTAAATAAGGAACAGCATAGTAGCATGTGGCTTAGTTTCTATTAAGCCATCGCAACAGGGAGGTAGCCAAAGATACATGGGAGTACCCTTAAAATATCCACACAGCCTGGTGAATTGAAACCTTACGATATTTCAGAATTGTAATTGATGACAAATAGGAGGCTGGAGCAAATCCCTTTAGAAGAATACTGTATGATAAATATTCAATGTCTTGCTTAAATTTGTTTGGATTTTCTATATATATATAAAATGTGTTGTTTGAGGGCAGTTTTAACATTATCAGAACCCAATCTTACAATAACTGTAAAGATATGTTGTGCGACAACTGTCCAGTAAATAAATAAAATAAACAAAATACCAATATATCAACATTCCAATTTTTGTAAAGAATAAAACTATTGCCTAAGACAATAGGCAACAGGGACCAGTTCCATGGAGAGAGGTTTTTCCACGGACTGGAGGGTCTGTGGTTTTGTGTGCTGCCTGCATCTTGCAGATTGCTTGTTTATGCGGACTGGTTGCTGGCATGCCGCGGCCCGGTACTGGTCCACGGACTGGAGGTTGGGGACCCCTGCCCTAAGAGCTTTTTTCATTCCCAACTGTGAAGTAGATATACAAACATCACTGGCCTATAATAATGCTTGAATTGCAGTCAGCTAAAATAGGTGGGCAATGGGCTGAAAGAACAAGTGCTTGGATTATTGGATTTAAATACAGATTACAAAGTAATGGAGCTAATATCTAACCTTTTCTTAAACGTCTATAAGTTGGGACTGCTTTAGATAAATGTCCTCAATTCTCAGTAAGGTATTTAAGTAAACAGAAGCAGCCCAAAGCACACACTCTACTAGAGAGAAGTTCTCTGAGGATGGGCTCCAGGTTCCGAGTCCAAAATCTTGGAAGACTAAACCTCTGGTCCTGGTGATTGGCTTGAAACTCATCATTAAGAAAACCAAAATCATGGCATCCGGCCCTCTCAATTCCTGGCAAATAGATGGGGAAGAAATGGAGGTAGTGACAGATTTTATTTTTCTGGGCTCCAAGATCACCTCAGATGGGGACTGCAGCCAAGAAATTAAAAGACGCTTGCTCCTGGGGAGGAAAGCTATGGCAAATCTAGACAGCATACTAAAAAGCAGAGACATCACCCTGCCAACAAAAGTGCGTATAGTCCAGGCCATGGTTTTCCCAGTTGCAATGTATAGCTGTGAAAGTTGGACCATAAGAAAGGCTGAGCGCCAAAGAATTGAGACCTTTGAACTATGGTGCTGGAGAAGACTCCTGAGAGTCCCTTAGACTGCAAGGTGTTCAAACTGGTCAGTCCTAGAAGAGATCAACCCTGACTGCTCTTTAGAAGGCCAGATCCTGAAGTTGAAACTCAAATACTTTGGCCACCTAATGAGAAGGAAGGACTCACTGGAGAAGGACCTAATGCTGGGAAAGATTGAGGGCAATAGAAGAAGGGGACGACAGAGAATGAGGTGGCTGGACACTGAAGCAGTAGGCATGAATTTAAATGGACTCCAGAAGATGGTAGAGGACAGGAAGACCTGGAGGAACACTGTCCATGGGGTCGCGATGGGTCAGACACGACTTCGCAATTAACAACAACAAATATAAATATACACACACACACACACAAACACACATTTTTAGATTGCTAACAAAGAATAAAGAAGGAAAAGAAAAAAATAAGAAGAAAGAAGAAAAAGAAAGAAGATTTCTTTCTCTGATATTTGGGCCGACAGGGTGCATCAAGAAACACTCAAGGTAAATGTATGTATGTATGTATGTATGTATGTATGTATATAGGTCTTTGGTTATTCGGGTTTTCTCCCACGTATTCTTTATTCTTTTTCAGAGAAAACCCGAATAACCAAAGACCTACATACAAACACCCGCGAAAACCTCAGAAAACAGATAGATAGATAGATAGATAGATAGATAGATATAAAAATTTGTTTTTCATTCATGAGTTTACTTAGTGAGCATTTGAAAATATAATAACACTGAAAAAAGTGACTTATGATTGTTTTTCACACTTACAATTCTTGCAGCTTTCCTTTGGTCATGTGATCAAAATTCAGACACTTGGCAACTGACTCATATTTATGATAGTTGCAGTGTCCTCGGGTCATATGATCACCTTTTTGTGTCTTTCTGAAAACCAAAGTCAATAGGAAAGCCAGGTTCATTTAACAACTGTGTTATTAACAATACCTGCAGTGATTCACTTAACAACTGTGGCAAGGCAGGTTGTAAAATGGGACAACATTCACTTATCAAATGAATCACTTAGCAACAGAAATTTTGGGCTTAATCGTGGTCATAAGTTGAGGACTACCTGTACAGTAAATAAACATGGAACAATCTTGCTAGTGAATGGGGAGAATCTTACTCTAGAAATGATATCCTTTTTTCTCTAAATACCTGCACTTCACATTTTATACCACAAGATGGTACTGAAGTCATAAAGAAACAATTCTATCTTTTTCCTAGGCAACATTATAGTATTCATTCAGGCCCAAAGTAAAATGACAAGGGGAGGGGGGTAATCTTCTCCCACTCATTTTTAAGTGAATTAGCAGCTCCATACGAAAACTATAAAAAGGTTTCTATTATGATAAAAAAAGAAAAGAGGGAGGGAGGGAGG